CAGACGTAAGTTGCGAGTTTTTGTACAGTGCGTCGGATAACGAAAAGCCCAGAATGGCACACATTGTGGATATAAATGCATTTTTAACAAAAAGACGAATATATCTCATGAATCTTATATAGTGTTGTTGTTGTCTGCTTTTCCCGCGGTTTTAAGTAGGTCACCAGTGACTTTGCAATGTCAGAGAGAGCTCCGTCAGTTAAAATCTCTTAAGAGATTTTAACAAAAAACCGTACGTTTAGGAAAAAAACCCTGGATTAACTTTGAATGCAGGAATGGGGTCGTTGGCCATTGGTAAGTACGGGAAAATTGCCGTTTACTCCAGGAAATCCAATTTTTGGCCAAAACAAAGAGTTATTATGACTTTAATAAGAGAAACTGCTTAAATATCTAAAAGGAAAGTACAAAAGAAAAATTGTGAAATAAATGATTGGATTCTCTCCTTGTAGACATATATTTTAGATGTATTTGTAAGGAGATTGAGCAGAAGATGTACCAAACCCAAGATTTTATTACATGCACACTCGAATACAAGCCCAACAATCTTGTTTACATTTTCAGATATTATACGTTGTAGACAGTTTCAATAATTTGGGTGTCTACGCATGCACAGGTTGTGCAACCGAAACCATGAAAGTATATTGCAGGCAGCTTCGGTAGAAAACTGCAAGGCACCAGAAAACCTGTCCAGACACCTGAAGAAATTGAAACAAAAAATAAATTAATTAATAAATAAAATTTTATGAAAGAGCAAATGCTGAGGACAGAAATCTTACAAAATCTTGACCATTCCTTGGTATTTGGTCCGCAGAACTTAAAATTAAAAACAAGACTGTTACTTACAAAACTTATAATTTCTGAAGCCAGACACCACAAGACACCAGAATCCAAAGAAATTTTAGGTTTTGATGATTAATTATGATTTTATTGACACTTTTATCTAGAAAATTTATAAAATGGTGTTACGGAAGGACATTTTTATCTTTGATATATTTTTCATAATAATGATCATTTTAAACAATAAAGGCTAAATGCATTAAATATAACTTATTTCTTACATTAAGTCAAGTGCATCAGATTCAGATATAGTTGATTACAAAAGAATGGATTAATTAATATCAAATTGTCCTTCCAAGATGATTTTGGTACCTACGTATTTTTTAAGTTTTCTCAGTAACTACAAAAGCTAAAATCTTATAACTTCATATTCACCTCAAACATGATATGGGCCCATAAGATTTGAAGACATTTTTGCTTAGAACCACTTCAGTGAGAAATTAAAATAAAATACATAAGCATTAAACATGACACCTAGCACTGTGGAAGGACAAGTGGGGCATTTTGATTGGACAATAAGAGGTCGTGAGGTCATGTGACTAATGAGCCCAAAAACCCTTATGCCTTTCAAGATAATCTTGAACTTATAATGCACAATTATTATATATGGAAGCATTTTTAAATTGAGGAACACTTCATTTGAATGAATAACTTTGAAGTTATTATAATTTAGACAATTTATTATAGTTATAATTAATGAATATGGTAAGATTTTCTCTTATATGTCCCAATACTATTTAAAGATGATCAGAGCAGACGAGAACTCGTATCATAGTCAAAAATAGTAACATGTTTGAAGATGAAATATATGATCGTGGAAAGACATGCTTACCTTTGATATTATTCATGGAACTTATCTTGGTAAATATATCATTAAATATAATTATTAAGCCTTATTTTACATGTTATTTAGCAGTGGACAAAACGTCCTTCTGAGATGCCTACTTGATTTTTTTATATGCAAAATTTTCAAATTAATTTTTTTTTCCAAAAGAAAAAATTATATATTGAGAAAGCGAAATTATAATCAAATAGTCATATTTTGATTTGACAGTCAATGACTTTAAAAATATCTCCACAGACAGAGCAGAATTTTGGTTCTAAAGTTGAAAGTTAAAATTCCATGTCCATTTCACATGCTATTTATTATAACTTTTTCGTAATTATAACTTTAACTATAACCTAATTTTTTGCCTAAATATAATTTACATATAGAGGAAGAAACGTACAAAAAATGGGCCTTCCAACTTTTTTTGCTTTTTAAAATATTTTCATTTGAAGTGTCAAATTTCCTTCTAAAACAGCAAAATAAAAAAAAAAAAAAAAAAAACACACACACAGAATGGCCCACCAGCAATTGTCCAAAATGCAACTGATTCCATTTGGAATATTTTTCATTTATTGTATGTTTTACAGTGTGTTTTATGGCTTCGGTTCCTCTTGATAAACGTGCACAGTAGTTGTTTGTGTTGATTATGAGATAACAATAAAATACTGAGTATATCACGTTTTCTGCAATCTGATTTTGTAAAAAAAAAAAAAAGTAGTGAAACGGCCATAACCTTTTGTTTGGAATATTATTTTAATCTGGAACCGCAACCAAACCACCGGACCTGGTTGCATTCAATAGCAACCCTGTGGAAAAAATGTTAATGTCGAGCCCTGGAGTATATTTTCCCTCTGCTGCCCTGTCCACTTCCTGAACCCGTCATGATTATCTTTGCATAGAACTGCACTCTTGACGCATCAAATTTCGCGCCGATATGCGGAAAATGACGAAGTAAAGGTCAAGGTCATATCCAATTATTTGCCATTAATGTTTTCTTATGCTTTGAGAATATTTTCATTGTAGCCATATGACATAAAATAATTATCAAACAAGAGTATACGATGCGTGAGTTTTATTAAGGTACGGATACTTGGAAAGACAAGTTTCTATTTGTCGGAAGCACCCGAATTCGACGGAAGTGAACGTGGATGCAACCATGATAGAAATGTTGCAGAGGATGTAAATATTGAAGGAATTCTCCTGATATATTTTGTGCACAAACTTCAGGTGCAATCACACAAAATTTTGTGACACATAGGTTAAAAGGTATGTTTTGCTTAAGATTTTCTGACATAGTAATGGTTATGTCATGGTTTTCAGGTTTATTGGCGGTGTGATTTGTACGAAGTTGTTGGGGTTAGGGGTGATTCCGAGTCAGACGGATTGAGAATCCGACTCATTTCTATTTTTAAACTCCCAACGTTGAACTGGCAGCGCAGGATATAAACTTATCAATGTCTCTTGGTGTCTCCTGCAGCAAGATTTGGCATTATGATTTAATCACCTGCCGTTGAAACTGAATTAAATTACTTCCACAATAATCTGAAGCCTACAGCGTTGGCATGATGTCACTGTCAGTCTCATATTTTAAGTGTCCTACACCTCAGATTCCACATGCCCAGTAAATCACTTACTCACACACACACACACACACACACACACACACACAAACACACACTTTAAGTTCAAAACCCACAATGTCTTGGTATTGTTGTGTACATTTGCACGCTATATAGTGATCAGTAGGCTAATAAGCATTTAACAAAAGACTGATATAACAGATAGTTTGTAAGGCTTCCCACATAAACTTGCTCTCTGTTCAACTCTGGGTAAAGTTGTTTTAAATGACACTTCACATTTTTTGTAGTTTTATCTCAGTCAAATAAGTTGCTTCATAAAATATCTCATGAGCAACCGTTTTGCATTCGCCAGTATTAGGCTATGTTCAGAAAAGAAGTAATCATACTAACAGGATCAGTCTATCTCAGCAGGTTTTTGCACTAAGGCACAGTCAATATAATCAGCTTAATTGTCTGGCATGTCCCATGGTAACTTCAAGTACTTGATTAAAGTCGGGGAAAACTCTGTGGTCCATGATGTTGTTTATATTGCTTTGCAAAGCAGGCATGCTAGACAATTAAGGTGATTACATTGACTGCGACTTAGTGAGAATCCTTGCTGAGATAGATCAATCCAGCTTGAGCTAGTATGATAACTTCTTTTCTGAACACAGCCTTAGAACCCACTAGGTTATGTTGCATGGGTCTGTGACGAAGGTCACTGATATTTTAAACTGCAGTATAACAGAAGAATAATTACCAGATACATAATAGGTAAAATATACAGGATGTACACCCTTGCTTGTGGTAAATAAAGGTACTCTAATAAATAAATTCATGACAAATAAAAAACACTGTACTGTCTTACATATAATTTAAAAAATATATAATGTCTTTATCCTATATCTATTTCCAGTGGCAACATGGGAGCCAACAGCAGTAGTATCAGTGAGCTGTCCAGTAATACCTACCTGGCCAAGCTGTGTGGCACAGACCCAGTCTCCAAGAATGATCCTTTCTGGAATCAGCTTCTGTCATTCACATTGCAGATTCCTCACAACAGGTAGTTATAGTTGTGTCTTTATATCACTACAAGATTTGCAAGTATTAGATATAATATATTATTTACAGTTTCTACAGGGGCAGATTGAGGCCGTCTTCTGGGTCTTCTAGAAGACGGTCAGAGTTTCCAAGTTTACCTTGACGGGTATCTAATTTTTTTTCTGTCGGAAGACTCAAATATGGACGGTGTGTGAACAAAGATAATTTGGAAGACTGTCAGAAAATATCTCTGGATCCACCCCTGTTCCAGAGTCTCTAAGAAACTGAAACTGTTTCTTAACTTTTTCCCTGTTCCCTCCGTACATCCAGCACAGTGCCACTCATGGTCATCATCTGTTAGAATTCCATTATTTATCCATGGCATTGGTAATCATTATGCAGGCAGGCATAGTTAGTTTATTAACCTGTGAATATGAAACAGTTGCTCATATTGTATTTATATATGTGTATATATATATATAAGGGCTAATGCAAGTAGATGATAATGGAAATACTTACATGTATCTTAGTGTTAACTAGTTTGATGCCTTTGGAGATCAGTTTAGTCTTATTTTGTATTTATCTTTGTTTTTAGTTCAGACAACAGGCTATTAGAAGAGTCTATATCAGGCATATGCAAGAACCTGGCCATCAACAACTTTCAGTCTGGTAACTTCGGAGCCTTGGTCAGGGTCTTCTTAATTAGGGCAGCAGAACTGAAAGCATCTACACAGTGTGATGAGTAAGTGAGAAAGTTATTTTTCCGTTTAATTTGCATTGATAAAGCTGTCATTAAGGTAACTAGTGTTTTTTACTTAGATTTTCATCACTGAAGGATTTGAAATATTTCAGGATTTTCTAATATAAATACCATTACTAAGATGTATGCACTTCTTAAAATTGAGACACATGTGCCAGTCATCATATTGTCAATTTTTATAAACTTTGGTTTATCAAAACAGAGTATTCTTACTTACATATTTAAAAAAACATAGCCTCCTAATTAAAAATTTTTCATTTTACATAATATTTCAATTAATATAAACATACACACATTCACATTCTTAAAGATATATGAACAACACAAATCGCAGTATAACTTAAGTTAAAAAATTAACTTTATATACTTTTGACAAAAAATAACATATAAATAGAATGATTGTATAAAAGGAGAGCATTGTCCTGGGGGAAAAAATATCAGAGAAAAAAAATTCAGTATTGATATTTACAGTATTTTCTTTCCTCTTTCAGCAACCTATTTATCTGGCAGACATACAATGCCCTGTTTATTGTAAGGAACATTTGCAAGTATTTTGTGGAGAATTTATCAGAGGAACTTCTGTTGGAACAGTTTAAGGCTCAGCCCACAGGGGAAGGTAAGTGTTTAACTTTATATACAGTCAATCCAAGAGTGACTGAGGTAAAATTCAGATATTTTTTTATTCCATTACTTATTTAAATGATTGGCAAGGAAAATACACATTTTCTATTCACTACTTACTACTTTGAGATTTTTTTCTCAAACACTTAATAATGTAAGATTGACATTCAAGATGTTGCAACACCACTTTCTAGGTAACCTTAAATGTTTTGTGGTGACTGTAGCCACATGGCTATGCTTAGATAATGCAAATAGGAATATCCTGTGATACAGTTTGTATTTTAAGAGTTCTTTTTCAGTTGAAGATGCAGAGGAAGACCTTTGCCAGGATTTCTTAAGTGCTCTGATAGAGCTGATAGTTGATGTCACAGTGGTGTGAGTAGTCAGTCATAGATTGTGACAGATTGCTTTAGTGTGACACAGATAGTGTCACATGTACAATTGATTGTATCAAATGTGACAAATTATCTTAGGTGTGACACATTGCTTTAGCTGGTACCAGCGGAGGATGTAGTCGATTTGGCTGAGATTGTGTTAGGTGTGATGCATATTCAAACAGATGTGACACAGATTGTGTTAGGTTTTATAGAAGATAAGATAGAACACCAACAGTGACAAACTGTTGCGTAGGAAATTTTGTTTGATTTAAGAACTTCTTTTAAACAGATTTTAAAGATTTTTTGTTACAATTGAATTGTATATTTTGAGTTGTGTTGGATATGTCACATTGTACTTGGTTAAAACACTTTTTCCTCCTGTTTTAACAGAAGTTATACATATGCCCTGCACCTGGAGGCTCTGAACTGTCTGCTAATCCTGCTGTCTATCCAGATGTTCCAGCCACAGCCAGCTGGTGAGACTATGCTTTATAGATATATTATGCATGGAAAGTGGTAAGTATACAAATGTGAGACTGGGTTTCCATAAACCCATCGTACTAGCAGGATTGGTCTAACTCTGTGGGGATTCTTGCTATATTGCATTCAGTTTAAGCAGCTTAAATGTTTGTCACGCCCACTGAAGCTGCTAGGGGATAATTAACTTTCGTGCATGCTTAAACTGAATGCAATTAGCGAGAATCCCCTCTGGGATAGATCGATTCTGCTAGTATGATAGAGTTATGGAAATGGCCCCTAGAATAGTAAGGCATCCAACACACATTCATAGCCAACAGGGTATGAACAACAATTTTGTATGTAAATTGTGATTTAAATGTTTTCGTTTTGGAGTTATGGCCCCCTTATAACGGTGCTTCTTAAAGAAGTGTTATTTAGATTTGTGACTAATAAGATTAAAACCAAGCCTTTAAAGATAAATCGGGGATTACTCATAATTCTTTGATGCCAATCAAGTTTTATAATTGGCCTGATCTGATTAATATTCCTTATATTTTTATGGACAAACACACTTAAAGTTTTTACTGTAATTTTTTTCTCAACACTTACTAACATTGTTGTGTTCAATCCTCCGTAAGCTCTATCCATGCATGCATGTTGATGAAGAGCCTCCTTCATAACTTTGTGGCACAAGAAAAGTGTCCGGCTTCCTTAATAAAGAACCACTCTGGAGGGTTGTCTGGGCTTACCTCAGCCATGGCATGTAAGTGAATACCTTTGTCTTATGATTATCATTAACCTGATTAACAACATAAAGATCTTGTTCACACGAGATCCATTATATTTAATTGCATTTGCAAGGAAACCATATCTTAAACATTATCACACTTAATTTGATCAATAAAATCAACATATTGGCTAGATCTATAGTTCTTTCAAAAATTGATCATTTTGTGGTTAATTCTGTATCCTACATTCATGCACCACATTTTAGCCATGCAGTTGTAGTGTTGAGAATTTTGTTCCTATATGTCCAGCTGGCCTGTGGACAGTGATGACACTAGGACTGGCCACTGGTCAGAAGACACAGGAGAATGAAGTGGACAGGAACCTGTTGGCCCAGCAGAGTATCTTGCTGACCCTTGTCCTTGTCAACCACTGTACAAATGACCGTGAGGTGAACAATCCTTACAGACAGGCACTTTGCTCTTTTATGGACTCGCATGGTAAGAAGAACCCATTTTTTATGTACAAATAAGGTAGTGTTTGTATTTTTATGGCAGCCTTCNTAACATTGTTGTGTTCAATCCTCCGTAAGCTCTATCCATGCATGCATGTTGATGAAGAGCCTCCTTCATAACTTTGTGGCACAAGAAAAGTGTCCGGCTTCCTTAATAAAGAACCACTCTGGAGGGTTGTCTGGGCTTACCTCAGCCATGGCATGTAAGTGAATACCTTTGTCTTATGATTATCATTAACCTGATTAACAACATAAAGATCTTGTTCACACGAGATCCATTATATTTAATTGCATTTGCAAGGAAACCATATCTTAAACATTATCACACTTAATTTGATCAATAAAATCAACATATTGGCTAGATCTATAGTTCTTTCAAAAATTGATCATTTTGTGGTTAATTCTGTATCCTACATTCATGCACCACATTTTAGCCATGCAGTTGTAGTGTTGAGAATTTTGTTCCTATATGTCCAGCTGGCCTGTGGACAGTGATGACACTAGGACTGGCCACTGGTCAGAAGACACAGGAGAATGAAGTGGACAGGAACCTGTTGGCCCAGCAGAGTATCTTGCTGACCCTTGTCCTTGTCAACCACTGTACAAATGACCGTGAGGTGAACAATCCTTACAGACAGGCACTTTGCTCTTTTATGGACTCGCATGGTAAGAAGAACCCATTTTTTATGTACAAATAAGGTAGTGTTTGTATTTTTATGGCAGCCTTCATGTTAAACTGGTAGAGGTTGTGTGTACATTTTTTTTCATGGCTCGTATTTTAATTTGTTTAAAGTTTGGAAGATATATATAAACTCTATGCGCTTATGTTTGCCTAAGATAGTTATTACAGGTACAATTTCATGTGTATTAGTTATCATATCTGGCATGCTTAACCAGCTGATGGTACTGATCCAGTGACCTGTAAGGCCTCTCTGCTTTGTACATGTTTTGTACATTTATGATATTTGGCAGTTTAATGAATATATCTGTTAAGGCAGCTCTCTTCTGAGTAACTGTCCCGAGTCTCTTGTGAGCTTTGAGAGAGAAATAACTAGGGGCAGATTAATAAAGAAATAATTATAAAAATTCTCAAGGAGATAATCGAAAGTTTTGTTAAATATACATAACTCTGTAATAGAGAACCTAGGAAATAAAAGGATCAGTGTCTGTTTTCATAATGCTGCCAAGAACCAGTGGACATAATCTATAGTATTTCTCCACTGTCATGTCTGGGAGTGTGTGCTACAATAAACCCTTCATTGCCTTCTACAAATATACCCAGCTTTTCTCCCATGCCAATGGCAAGGCTGTTTCAATCCTTTTTACTTGATTATGAAGAATGTCTCACCGCTGTGTCTCCCTGAGCCTTGACAACTTCCCGCTTTGGCCCCTTGTCACCATAATTATTCAATCCACACACTGAAAGCATGTTTCAAGAAAATAGACCATGAGTGCGTTCACAACAGATGATCCGTGGACTTCCTGATCTGCTGTCTAAATATGGCCAACCCATGATGGTCTCACCACCCTCACACGTGCCATTAAACAGATTAAATCTCAGGTCTGAGGTTTAATTGCTAGGTCCCTGCAGGGGCGGTGTGTGTGGAGGCGGGGAGACCATCAGGGGCTACATTTTATGTGGGGTCGGCCATATTTAGAACTTGGATCAGTAACTCTGTGGATCATCTGTTCTGAATGTCCTCTGTAACACTCGTCCTCACTGGAGACAACCAGCATTGTTTCAAGGGTCAGTTCCCTAATACCATATAATGAATTGAGTTCTGTTATTATCAGAGGGCAAGACTATTGAATAGTATCAGATTATTTCTGATGTTTTCACTATAATTGTAACCAACAGTAACTGTAAATTCAATAACCTGTTAAGAGTATTTCAGGCTGACTGATAGTTTCGGGAAAAATAATTTCCAATGCTAAGTTATCAAATTTCTAGCACAAAAAAAAAAAAAACTCTCAAGTGGAGAGTCTCCTTTATATAAGTCTACACCAAGTATACCTGATATGTAGAAATCTATTTTTCTCCCCAGGTGAGGCTGGCGCCCCCACAGAGGCCTTGGCCACATTCAGAATGGACTTCCCCAAGCTCTACAAGGCACTGTGCCAAAACATGAGAGACGACCAAACCACGCTGCTACTCTATCTGCTCATACATAGGAATATCAACTTCAAAACCTTTGTGCTTTCTAGGACAAATTTAGACCAAGTGGTGAGTGGATTCCTCACTGGACATATCAAAGTTGCACTGGCAGATCCAGGATTCTGCAAAGTGTTGAACAAATTTTGCTTGCTATACTTTCTTGGAGGAGAGAATGGGGTATATCAGAAGTTGCCTGCTGTACCACTCCCCTGAATCTGCCATTGTCCTTTTTGTACTCGAGTAATAATAGAAATTTGCTGACACATTTAAAAAGGGATTTGTGTATTACAATCCTTTTGCCAAAGCTTTAAATTTTATCCCTCTTTCCTTTCTAACTTTTGGTGTCACTTGGTGACAGTCTTAACATTTAAACTGAGATGGGTTGTCTGTGTATTTGTTGGCTTTTCCAAAATTAGATTGAAAAAAACGTTTGTAAAATACTATCATATAATGTTCATGACTTTATTTGTCTTTAATTACTTTATTTATTAATCAGTTTGCTAATTGCATCATATCAGCAATATATATATAATTGTACATGTGAAGATGGGGAGGGAGAGATATGAAGGTCTGAGAAAACTTCAAACTTTTTGTTATATTCTCTCTCCCATTCTTCAATGATGGGTCATATTTCATATAGAACCTGGATGAGGAACAATACAGACCTTAACAGTATGTCCTTAAGCTGACGTAAAAGATTACTTGCTATTTATCAGTGATGTTTATCAGACATTAAGAATGAAAATATTGTCTAGACCTTTTTATTTGTCTTTTCCAGGTTATGCCAATATTAAAAATCTTGTACCATGCAGAGGACAAAAATTCTCATCACATTTACATGGCTTTAATTATTCTGCTAATCTTGAGTGAAGATGAGTCTTTTAATAAAGCCGTACATGAATTAGTAAGTAACAAAGAAATAATTACTGTCCATTACTGAGAAAAAGTGTTTGTCTAAAATATTAAAATTAGAGCTTTTGTCATCTGGTAAAAGCATGCTATAGCTGAACTACAGGTCAATCTGACACCAAATTGTGCATATAATCCATTGTCAAAGTAGCTGGCTTTGGACAGTGAAAAATGTTGTTAGGCTTGGTCTCCAGACCTAGAGTGCTGGTCTTACTTGAAAACAAACTACATTTTAAAGCATACAGTTTATGTATATGACAGGTTCTATGTATATGCAGGATTCAGATGTTGTCTACTTCTATTTCCAGACAATAACAAATATAGCATGGTTCAAAGAAAGGACAATATCAGAGATCTCTCTTGGTGGTTTACTGGTGCTAGTTGTAATCAGGACAATACAGTACAATATGACCAAAATGAGGGTGAGTAGCATAGATGCTAGATCTAGCATTTCAAAATTTCAGCAATAAATAGAAAAACAGACTGAAACAAAACATTGAGGAGAGTAGGAACAGAAATTTAATGGCAGAATACTGAGTGCCATGCAAAAATCAAACAAAGTTATGGCCCAGCAACAAAAATAAAAATTTATCCATGGATATTTTTTTGGTTATTTTATCATAAGGTCTTTTGCACAAAAGTAGGTTTACCCAGACCTTATATATCCAAAGGTAGAAGAGATACACACTATCTCATAGGTTGTTCATATTGTGTCCTAAGGTTGAAAATGACCCTTCCCAAGTAGTCTTCTGTTTTATATAAGGTTTATAATAACAGTAGTGTTAATACTAATACTAACTGTAATAATTATTACTTTCTATAAGGCGCAATTATTATACACCTTAAAGATTAATGGTGAAAAATAATGAATTGCTTTTTAAAGTTCTTAATTTACTAAAGATTATTAAAAATAATCTAAAGAAAAAATTTAAAACAAAACATGTCAGTTGTGGCAATGTAGCCTCAGGCATGTACATGTTCTTATCACATTTTCAGGACAAGTACCTACACACCAACTGTCTGGCAGCTCTAGCCAATATGTCTGCTCAGTTTGACAACCTTCATCCATATGTAACACAGAGGTTGATAAGGTAAGCTCTAAAGCGGCATATCATAACCAATTAAAATAATCTTTTGAATAAGTCAATAAAGGTTACAAAAATGAATATTTTATATTCTGTCATTTATAAATTTTTAGCATCAAACAATATTTTATGGCAAGTCCAACCCACTCAGAAGAATGCTTGCGAAAATTACATTTGTATCAGACACATTTAAATTTTGGTATTCTTCCTCTGATTAACCTTCTTTTGATCCTACTTTCCTGATACTCTAATAATCTGAAAGAAGTAAGAAGTCTTTAACCCACACTTGAGCGATGGTTTTTCAAAAATCTGTCATTTCTTCAAGCTTAATTCTTTTACTGAATTCAAGGTTTAGCACAATTAAAAACTGTGTCAAGATGGTTGACAGGCTGCAAGATTAGTCAGGAGATGATGAAAGAGTTATTTTTGGCTGCATTAATTTATGGCATTTATCTGTTAAAATATGATCAAAAAGAATTACTTGTACTGGGATAAGTTCAACAGGAAATGGTTTACATACTTAACATATTATGCTTTGTCCCATGAAGTGTTAATCATATGTATGTTTGAGTTTTATTTCATCCATGTGGAAGTGTTAAATCAATCTCCGTGCTAATAGTTAGCTTTAAATATTTGAAAAAAGGTTTTCACATGCCATGCAGACTTTAACACGAATTAAGTTCTTAAATCTACTACTGGACCTGCATAATTTGAGTTGACAACACAGCTTCTCCTTCCTTTGTGGAAATTTCAGCAGGTCTGCTGAAACTGCAGGTGTACTGTTCTTGTTACATTATATACACAGTATTGTACAGACTTTGACACAAATCATAAAAAAATTAGAAAAAAATAAAAAAATTAATGATTTCAGTCACTTGTATTTGTTGGTATATTGCAAGTGATATCTGACTGGCTTTATGTGCTGTAAAATTTACTTGTATCTACTATTCTGTTTGTAGTTTGTTTGCCCTGTTAGTGAAGAAGCATAATCGTCTAGTTCAGCAACTGAAGAATGCCTGCTTGGAGGACGGCCAGGCAGAGAGTGGCTCCGAAGCTGATACTGAGCCTGACTATGTAAGAGACTGTCATTGTGAAAATAAATAAAAATATTTGGGGTGTTGTGGATTTATTGTGTACAAATTCAGTATAGTAGGTTGGTGTTTATGCTTTTAAAAAATTGTGATGTTGCATCAGAATTGACCAAAAGCAGTTTGTGCACTGTGGTAATTGTCATAAAAAGAAAAACTTTAACTTATTACGTACAGACTCTGTATATGTTCTGATTACTGTCTGTCCTTGTTGCTGTTGCCATCCAAAATATCAGTCCCTGTAACTGCCAAACCATATTTTTGTTTTACTTTATATGTATTAAGTGCCATTTTGTCATTAAAAAAGGGATCCTTTAAGATTCAGCATGATCATTATTACAAGTTTCTTTTTCACATATTTTTGCAATATATGTTATATTTGTGACATTTGTTAAATAAAAAGTCAAGTTCTTTTTAAAAGTCAGAATTATGGGAATGTTTTTACAAAAGTAATATTTTATTGGAATGTGCTCTTTTTTGGAGCAGTGAGAATTAATTTTTTCTATATAGTGTGTGTATACTTGCTAGCTTTGCTGTCTATCTTGAAGATCTTTTTTATCATTATGTTATTTTTATTCACATTTTGCCCTCATTTATGTCTTGGATTGCTCTCAAGTTATATTGTTTTATATTCTAAGAATTTTATATTACAGGGCCAGGACTTGAGCGTATTAGAAGAAGTCATCCGTATGGTCCTCGAGATTATTAACTCGTGTCTGACTCATGCCCTCCACCACAACCCCAACCTTATCTACACTCTGCTCTACAACAAAGAGGTGTTCTCTCAGTTCAGAACACACCCAACTTTCCAGGATATCATACAGAATGTAGACACAGTATGTGCAGCCTCTGTATTACTTTGTATTCATTTAACTTTGCCTTGTTTCTCTGTCAGATTCAAGATACTGTTCTCAGTGTTATCTATTCAGAAATGTTGATATGGTGAATTTGAGATATTTTGGGTTCTAATTAGTAATATAACTCATGTTCATATTAAATAGTAAAGTCAGTTTAAAATATCCTACGTTCTCGAAGAATTGTGCAGTTTTATTTCTGATTAAATGGAGATTGTGGTTTTGATCTGAAGAAAGCTGAGTAATTTGGAACAGGATTGTGACTTATTTAAGGGTTAAGAATTTTGAAAAAGAAAACTATTTCCAGACTTGTGCTCTTTATTGCATGGTTTAATTGGTATTTTAAAACTAATTTTTAGGTTCTAGGTTACTTTACTGCACAGTTGGAGAAACCAGACAGGAATCTCTCTGTTCATGAAGTGTTAGACATAATCAAAATGGGGGCAAGACAGTTTAAAAGAGAAAGGTTAAAGGTATGTGCCATCTGTGTGTAATAGGTATGTAACTGATTTTAACCAATGGGAAACTCCTATAATAATTACTAATTAAGCTGGTTTGTTCAGTCTGTATGTTTACCTAATTGCTCTTGTTTTTTCTTCTGCAGAAATTCCCAGAGCTTAAGTTCAAATATGTGGAAGAGGATCAACCCGAGGAGTTCTTCATCCCTTATGTGTGGTCATTGGTCTACCACTCCTCCAACTTGTACTTTAATGCATCACGGATACAGCTGTTCTCTTTAGGAACAACCCAGGGTTAACAACACTGATGCCTGCTCACAAACACACACAAACACACACGCTGCAAGAGACTAGTGGACTGTGAGGGTACTGGGGTATAGCCTGCATAGCACAATGTGTGCATGTAGACATGATGAGAATAACAAATGTATGTGAGTGCAAATCACATACTTAGGTAATGGGTCAAGGTGAAATGGTGACTCAACACTAGATATGATTGCAAAGTGTGAATAGACTTGTGTGGGGAGTTCCAATGTAACAGTCAGGAATGAAGTCATGACTCACTAGATTAAGACCAGCTTGCAGTCCTCGCTCTGTTGACCTCGCTTAAAAGTGCACTGGTCAAGGACACAATTGGGAAATGGTCTGTTCTTACTGTGGCAACCTTGCCGTAAGTTGGTTAGGGTCAGTGACTGGACACAAGTATGAGGTGGGCAGCTGCTGGAAAGTGGGCAAGTGTCCCTGAAAATTGTGCTGTAAGTCGATGCACTGGTCAAGGACTGGGCACCAGGGTGCAGTGGGTGCTATTAATCTGGACATTAATTATAGTCCCCATTCCCATGGGTCTTATTTGGTTGACTTAAGTATGGATTGAAGGCAGCTTAAAAGATATAAAATTTGTGGGCAGTTATGCTATGAAATATGTATATAGTTAACTCATCCAAAGGTTCAAATCCAAAGTTTTATTTTTTGTGCATTGGGATTTTTTTCATGCTTAAGTTTTTCTTGATCGGAGGTTATTGATTCTGTACCATAAAGGAAGTGGTATCAAAGTGCTGCTTGCTTGGGTAACTAATAATGTTGGATATTATTGACAATACATGACACTGATTCTCTTTATTGAGATTTCAACCATGTAGGGAATTTATAACCATAATGACTTGGCACACCTCAGTCACAGCGAGTGTCGGGAGGATGCATTATGTATTTTATATGCTAGATATATATGGTCAAGTGAACTTGTAATTATGAATATTAAAGAATCTATCTGGAATTATAAGCATCTGGGAATTAGCAAGCCATTAAAATGTGGGGAAATGTGTGACTTCTTCAACTGTAGTGTGTATAGTCTTGGTGTAAGTAATGCACTGATGCAGTATCCAGCTTGTGTGCTGACAACACCAACATCAACATCTCTGTTAACAGATCTTGTTCAGCTGGGCATGAGGCACAGCTAGCAAATGCTTTGTTTAAATATTTACGAAAACATTTTCTAACAAAAACATACCTGTAAACTGTCCACTAACTGTTTATATAGTATTATACTTAACTGAGGTAACATAATTATAAAAAAGGGCTGCCCATGCATAAGGCTGGCAGTATTTGCTAATTTTATTCACATATAACTATATCTCAGTAGAGATACAACAGTGATAAAATATTGCTTAAAGGAGGGAGAAACCAGAAATTTCACATTATATCCTAGAGGAAAAAACTCTTGATCTCTTTTCTAGAGATATGTTAAAATTTATTGCCCGGCCCATAAACTGTACAAAATATTCTAAATGTTATATTCAAATAAAAAATGCATTTGCAAACTACCCGCCTCAATATGCAAAAAATGAAGCAACATTATTACATTGTAGGCCCTCCACATACCTAGACAGCCGTAATGCAATGGTTTTTTCAAAAAAAAAATCGCAAGGAGATTGTCTGTTATTGGAATTATATTTAAAATTAAACCGGGATTGGTTTGAAATAGCATGTGTGTGGCTACTTCCTTTCATAATTCTTGACTTCTTTTTGTGCAGAAACAGTTTTGACCATGTATGGATATAAAGCTTTTTAAAAGGTGTAGAAAGTTGGTGGTTTTCAGTATCTACTAAATTTGTACATAATAATATGTAAATTGGTTAATTTTTTTAAGGATATGTGCTGTTTAAGTCATTTTGTTTTTGATTTGGTTCTTTTATTTTAAGTACACTTAGCTTCAAATACCTGTTTACTGTGATAATTGTATATCATGGGCTGTATATCTTGTGGCTGTACATAGAAAAAGGTGGCAAATAAATGTTTTCATATAACATCAAATGTTTAGTGACTTATTCTTTTTTATTTTCTATTTCTCACAAGTTTACATTTTTTGAATGTTCACAATAACTTGGTAATGATAAAGCATTACGTAAAATTGACAGAAAAGTCTTGTGCAATTATAAATTATCCTCTGTGCCTGCACCTTGACACCTCTGCTCCAAGTTTAATGTTTATTACATAAATAAAATGAAAACATAACCTCCTTGGCGGAGGTAAAAATTGATTTTTGTCCACTGCTCCAGTATAGGCTATACATGTACATGTGGTACATGCGCATCTAAACTGCTACGGAGTCCTGTCAACCCCCTTAAAGAAGACTTGGGTTATACTTCATTTTATTAAGTCATTCAGTTTAAGACGACAGATGTCGCGTTTTAACAATTTCTCTCAGACGAGGGCGATATATGCGGTGATGTTCAAAGTGCGCACAATGAAGGAAGTCGGTGAATATACATTGCTTCGCCAAATAAAAAGGTGTTTTGGGCTTTTTAACTCACACTTTGTTGTAAGAAATGTATCTTACATCACTGCAGAGAGATATTTATTTTCGTTATCATTTTTTTATAATGTTATAAGGTGTTTTGGGCTTTTTAACTCACACTTTGTTGTAAGAAATGTATCTTACATCACTGCAGAGAGATATTTATTTTCGTTATCATTTTTTTATAATGAACAAATCAATAATCGATTCCCGACATACAGATAATGTAAATCTAGCGCCATATATCGGCTTTGTGAATGGCACAGAAGTAGCTTGTTGACACCCGGTAAATTATCATCAGAGAATCTGAATTGCTAGCGGGTAAGAGATAAGATCAAAACAAGTTATAACTTAAAAGTTCCCAGTTACTAGGTCACCCGAATTTCGTTTCATTATTCAGTGATTTTCTAATATGGGAAGAGAACACGTTTGAGGAGTGGTTTGAATAGTTATATGTTAACCACGGGAGATACAGTCTTAACATTTACACTGATCGTGTAAAAACAGATCAATCGTTACCCCTTTTATTAGACCTTTTGCTATGTGGCTACTGTATGACCCTCAGTGGCAAGAAAGCAAATAAAAAGCCTATTTTCAAATACAACTTGTAGTTGCCGTCAAAATCTGAACGACTGCTTTAAAGAAAATGAGCAGGAAAAACGTGGGAGTGTGCGACGTAGTTTGGCGATAGTTCTGTATATGTTATATAGATGTCAGAGTAATATTGATAGCTACTCCTGTAAGTGAGAAAACACCGAAAACGAAAAATGCAGTTGCTCACGTCACCCGGGAAAATGCAGAAATAGGATGTTAGATAAACCTACGTCTGAATGATTGATGCATTATCATATTTCATTAATGATTTGTACCTGGAAGCAATTATTTTTAATTACTTTAAAATGCTAACACATCCATCTCTTTTGTGCTGATGTATGCCGGTGTGGCGCAATCCAATTCTTTTTTTGCCTGTGAAGATTTCTGAACACTTCGAAGCACGGAGACCGTGACCGGGCCGTTCAAATACTCTCAGCAAAACTTGAATTCTTCGATAATTTGAAATACCTTCAAGTTATTTGAACCACATAGGAGCGCGGTTTATTGTAATTTAACAGCTTAAGCATGAATTTAACTTTAAATATTCTGACCGACAGAAGGAACCTCCAATAAAAAATTACAAAAAAGCACAGAAAAGGAACATTATGAAATATGCATTAAACAGCCAGATTGGGTAGTTGTGTAGCAGATGTCATCCGATACTTTGACACTATATACAGTATAGAATATTTCTATGCAGTACACCCTGTGGTTGGCTCATTTGACATTTAAATCAACTATACATTACTATATTTTAATTTTAAATTTATTTCTTTGTTTATTTTTCTTCATTTATTTATTTATCTATTTATTTTTGCATCCATACTTCTAACGCTTCTTACGCACCGTACCATTTTCACAGTGAGCGCGAACGTGCGATGGTCACACCTAACATCTGAGGTGGAAAGGAAGGACTCTTTTCACTGCGCCATCTGTCGGCCTAGAAAATTACATCGTCTACACATTGAATTTTTTGTTCACTCAACGTGAGCAAGAAAATTTTCCTTTAAAGGGCATTACCCCACTGGGAGTCTCTGAAATCCCCTTTGTGTGATTTTTAGATAGTGTTTATTTCACAGTTTCGTGTGGATTTGATAATTTTAAGTATTAAATTTGCAATCGAAATGAACATTTGCACATAAGGCAGCGTTTCTGGTAATGTCTATCAGACAAAACAAATTGTCATCCTGTATGAACACAAAATGGCTAGAAAACCATCAGAAATAAATACACCACTGGGATTCTCCAAGACTGAAATGTGAGACAAAGTCGAGGAAATGCTGATGACATTGCCCCAGGTCTCCCAAGCGCTCCCTTGGGTAATTCGTCTGTCAGATCTAATTCAAGATGTCATCAAGTGTCCCATCAAATTTCCGCTCTTCTGATGGCGCGAGAATCGATGAAGTGATGACAAATTGTATATTAATGAGGTGACTATTTACTCCTTTATCGTGACACGCCGATGACTCCAGATAGCCAATTCATTTGTCAGTAACTCTCTTATCAACAACTTCAAACGATCGAAAGTTTGCACAACATGTTGTAATGCAATGTTCAGTAACATTTGAAGCAAATTGTCTGAGATACTACTATCAACTGGATTAAATTTAAAGAAAATGTTCGATTTTGAAATCTGTCTTTCTGATTTGATTTGCTTTAAGTGGGACACTGAGGAGCCAAAGCATGAAATAAAGATAGAAGAGAAAAAATGACAAAAATCATTAAATGCAGAAGCGATTTGACAGAGGGGTGATTACGTTAAGGCGTTACAACAGGCATTTTCTTTCAATTTTCATTTCTTTCAAGTATTCCTTCAATACACTATTCAAAATACATTCCGAACTGAAGCACGTTGTAATCTTCATGTGCCTCGCAGAGTTGTTTTCGCAGGCGACGGAATTGCTGAAGTAATTTTGTAACAAATTACCAATTCGTTTCTCTCGTGATAAACAAATTTAGGGCAGTGACATTGCTGCCTTTTTTTTTCATTTGGGAGATAGTTTAGATTGAGTGAGTAGGATAAGATTTGACGTGCATTCACTAAGTAAGTCGTGCTAAGACGGGGAGGGGGGGGTGGCCTTTTTGTTGAGCCTCACCTGCTACAGCGCTCCTCTTTTTCTCTTAGAGGTAAACAGCATTTATTGAATCCAATGGAATTGTTCCTCTGCATTAACATCTTAACTCACTAGTATGCACAGACACAGCAGCTGTAACAGTTTTTCAAATGATGCACGCAACCAAATAAAACATGTTTCAAACCTACTAACATTTGAAAATATATTTTTCTTATATTTCCAACCAGCTCAAGTCTTTGCTGAAGCCATTGCCAACTTCTTCCGATTTATGGTTGTATCTTCATGTTTTCTTTTATCAATTTTGACCTTGCGGATACTGTATCGCCCAAATGGTAGTTCCATTTTGATAAAAATTGCTGGATTAAGGCCTACTTGTGGGTCTGAAAAACGCACCATCTTTGAAAATGAACATGCTGGGACTGTTCCCTGTATGTTTTCCATTATTCTGCGATGGTCTTTGTTGAAATTATTTCATCGTTAAGCACTTATGAATTTACATTGGTTTATTTGTTTAATGAACACGTCCTTTGCAATACACAGAAATTTCAATTTCATAATCAAAATAATAATTTTCAGACAGTAATTATGATTAATTTTGGGAACGGGTAGACAGGTAAGTATTTTCGATTCCATATGAAATAGGACAAAGTTTGTGGATTTTAAAATAATAAATCTGTTTCTGAATATCCTCCATTTCATTTGATGGAGGACCCAGTAAAAAGATGATAAAGGGTCGTAGTCCCAGGTTAGAAAAACTCCCCGCCAGATGTCAGGTCAGTAAACAGCTCCCTGAACCTCATAAATCAGCCCCTCATTAACTTGTACTTAATGGTAAGTGGATGGTTAATTTATTACGTGTCTAACTGTACTGAAATAATTAGCATCAATTACGTGCCCTATATTGTTCTCAAGGCGATATACGTGTTGATATGCCTCGTACCAGAGAGGAAGAGGTTAGAACAACGCAGTTTCTTCTGCAGCGAGATACCATTCCTTTTTCATGCGAACTACAGTGACACGACTGATGATTTTCAAGTTGGGATTCTTAAGAGAAAGAAAAGTAGAGAAATTTAATAAGTCTTTTCTGATGCTGGTGGTACCGTGTTTGTTATAACATAAATGTTTTTTCAAGGTTAAATGAGGTGTCATAATTTTGAAAAATACATATAAATTTTTGAGTATTTAGAAACAAATGAGTAAATGCATGATTCAGCCATTTGCAATGCAGTCATCAGTTTCACCCTCTGCCAGCCTATACATCCATGTTTTATGACCGCATTTGTGACAGATGCAATCCCGGTATTTCACATTTGGCCATGAATTGCTTTTTAAAAACTGGTTCAATCTGCCAAAACGCGATCTTGATGCCCAGTTAACTTTACGACAGCTGAATCATTGTATAAAAACCCGGTTAAATTCTCTGACTAGAACTGCCAAAGTATTTTGTTGATGATTTCTGCCTGCCATTGTGACAGCTGTAGCCAAGGTATCCCCGCCTCGTGTCTGAGCAAGGCCACAGAGGTTTCGTTCTACGTTTCGCACGATACCGGTGAGAAAAATGTATGTACTTAGTCTATTTTTTTTTTCATGGGCGTGGCCATGTGTATTTCTAATTTGTATTTTTGGCAGATTCTGTCAGTTTATTTTTCGTTACATATCACAGTGAGAGGCGACATTAACCCCACAAAAAATCCCAATCAAAGCCCCCCTATTGAGAGAGCTGCTATGTGAGATATTGCTTTCGGTAGAGACGGGTGGAAGGGGAGAAGGAGGAATGTATACTTTTTGGAGTATGCAAACTGAATGAAATTTTCTATATCAAAAGATTTGACTTCTTT